ATTATTATTATTATGATTTTGTTGTTGTTGTTATTATTATTATCCTCACATGTTTATGAGCGGAGCTGTGACATTAATTTGTTGAGGCTCCCGTTGTGACAGAGGAGAGATCAGAGTTGACCGTTGGGATCTGTGTCTTTGGCAGGCTTCTCGCGGCACTGGCATTATCTATGAGACCCGGGCTTCCCTGCTGAGGACTTACCAGAACCCTGTGGAGCCCGCACCCTTGTGGCAGCTGCCCCGATTCACCAAATCTGTGAGTGTACTGTGGGTGGTTGGCGGCGGGTGCTCTGGGGTGGTTTGCTCCTTCTTTTCTGTAATAAAGAAAAATCTGTCGTCCTTATCGTCCTCCTTCTTTTTCGTGTTTGTTCGTCTCTTGTAACGCCTATGATCTTCAGCCTTTATTATGTGACCTAATTGTGTTTCAACTGGCCAGATTCACAGAATCTGTAAGTAGACAGAAAGATATTCATTATTTTAAGTAAGTGTAATTTGTATTTCCGCTTGACTTTTTCTAGTGTGTGTGTGTGTGTTTGTGTGTGTGTTTGTGTTTATGTGTATATGTGTGTGTGTGTGTGTGTGTGTGTGTGTGTGTGTGTGTGTATGTGTTTGTGTGTTTGTGTGTGTGTGTGTGTATGTATGTGTGTGTGTTTGTGTGTGTGTTTGTGTGTGTGTGCATATGTTTGAGTTTGTGTGTATATGGGTGTGTGTGTGTGTTTGTGTGTATGTGTGTTTGTGTGTGTGCGTGTATGTATGTGTGTTGTAAGCTTGTGTGTCTGAGTATGTGTACATGATATGTGTGTGAAAGAGGGAGTGTGTGCGTGTGTGTGTGTGTGTGTCTGTCTGTGTGTGTGTGTGTGTGTCTGAACATGTGTGCGGGCATGTGTGCATGTGTGTGCATTATGTGTGCATGCATGCTTGTACATGTGTTGTCGGAGTACTTTTTCATATATCTGTCTGGTGTTACTTTTGTTCGTTTGCTCTACTGTTTCATGGCAACATGCTCCTATTAACTGTAATCATATCGACGTGCATTTCATTATACCTAAATGTGTGGACTAAGTGGATGAATGTGTGAGAAGTGTGTCTGCGTGTTTCTACGTGAATAGTAGATTCCAATCCAACACTTTCTTTGTTGTGCCATATCTCGTTCTTGCTTTATTCCCAGGCGAAGCCACACATACAGACCTTCCGCACGAACCGGGCCAAATCTGACGCCTTCGGCAATCTGGAGACAGATAAGATTGCCAGGCAAGGAGATTTCGGCACGGGCATATACGAGCCAGCCAAAAACTAAAGTCTTATGTATCATCACTTTTCCTGTACATAAAACCCTAAACTAGTTTTTCAGATGATGTGATCACAAGTTTTGACCCGACAGAGTGGTGTACAAAGACAGGAGGCAGAGAGGCCGGTTTATAGACTCGTTTGCACAGAAAATTTGATCATCGTCAGATATTGAGGGATGAACTATTATTTCATTATTTCATAAAAAAGTTTCAATGACTGGGGAATTCTTTTACTGCTGTTTTGTTGTTTAGAGAATTATTCACACCACAAGTGATAAAAATAGACGATTGTTCAGTGATTTCTTGTTTCACATTTATCAGATGCCTTTTGGTTTGTTTTCTTTCTATCTTAAAACATTTTTTTGTCCTCCAGGTGTGGGTTTATACCCCGGATTTTACGTAGGAGGGAGGGCAGGGGAAGTAGTTGGTTGTTGACTGATGTCTAAATGTCTATGGAGGCAATTGCTTCCTTCATGTCAAATTTCTCACTTGAAATGGTGAGATCACATGACCTAGAGTTTAAACATGTTGAGAAAATGCTGAAATTTCAGCTGCCTCAATACTGGTTTTGAGTAATCTCAAGAAGTTCAGCTATTTTTATGTGGTGATCCCAGCATAGGTGTGAATATTGTTACTTACAAAAAAAATTATAACACTTTTGTAAACTATATGTTGACTACTATTCTTTAAAAAAAAATGTTCTTATTATGTTAAAGGGCATTTTGAGGGGTCTTTTGGTACATCATTACTCTTTTAAAACTACCTCTCCTTGTAGGTAGTGGGTGGTTGGAGAACACCACCGGTAGGTTCTACTTTATTCCTTACCTCTGTTGTTTCTGTCTATCCGTCTAACTTTATTGCTGCACTGAATGACCATTATGGTGTCGATGTGCATGTGTTTTACTCCAACAAGCAAAGTCCCCGTACGTTGAGTGTTGTTATTATCCGGTGGAAACTGCTGCCTCGGACCCGTGTAACTTGCAGCGTCAGTAACAACACTGCTGTCTTTTCTCAATACTGTGTTATATTTTATATGGTTTTTAAAAAAATAGGTTCACTGCTGGCTGTGATGGTTTAAGCTCTTCAACTCCTTTGTGATAACAGATTTTTTTGGATCTCCATGGATTTTTGTATGTCTATGATTGTTTATGTCAGATGAACTGATGATATTGTTTGGTCGTTACTGTTGTTACTTAGTCCGTGACTGTAGTAGCCTTACATTTTGTTGGTATCGCCTTTGATGCTACTCACAAACTTTCTGCAGATGTTACAGTTTTAGGCTGTTTTTTTAATAAGGATTTTTTTTCTTACCCTTGTTCATGCACAAAAGTTTTCATTCTCTTCAGTGCTGATCTGACCCTCTTCCATGGAGGTTATCGAAGCATCTCCTACTGTAATTGGTTGTGATGTATATTTTCATCTAGTCTTAGAACTGTATCATTGATTATTATGTTATACTGTACAAAAGTTGTCTTTGCATTTCACATTTAAGCAAAGGAAATTCTGTCATTGTACCATTATCATAATGTTAACGTTATCGTTGGTGAGTGTTTTTTTGTAAAATTTTTGTAACGGCTTCTTGTTAGAAACAACAGAATTTTGCTTGGTTCTGGAATGTTGATGCTGCATTCTGTTAGTCTATTTCTTTTTCTGAGGTATTATTGCTGTTCTGTTTTCCGTCTCATTTCCTACTTGATAATATAGAGAAATATTTCTTATAAATGTCTTGCACTTGATTGTATCTTAAAAAGGGTATCGTGTCTAAACTCTTTACTTCAGTATTATTACTATTATTCTTCTACCAGTATTGTGACTCACATTTTGCCATAAACTGTTAGAGTGAGAGAGACCAGCCTCACTGGATTGATGAACTGATGGACTGCGTAGGTACAACAGGACTGGTTATAAGTTATATGCAGATGGGACTGCGTAGGTACAACAGGACTGGTTATAAGTTATATGCAGATGGGACTGCGTAGGTACAACAGGACTGGTTATAAGTTATATGCAGATGGGACTGCGTAGGTACAACAGGACTGGTTATAAGTTATATGTAGATGGACTTTGAAGTGATTTTTGCGAAGAAGGGGTGGGGGTGGGGTGGGGGTGGGGTGGGGTGGGGTGGGGGATAGCAGTTATAGATATGTATCGTCTGTGATAATCCCAACCGTGTAGACAAATAAATAAAACAGATAATAAAACTGTGGAATGATTTGCTGGGGACATGTTACGAAGGTCACAGAATGAAATTCAACAGAAACATTAATTTTACATTGCTCTTTTCTTCCACTGAGAGAATTTATTTTTGTAGGCACTTCATGGAGATATGCCTTACTCCTCAATCAAAATCAGAATCAGTGTTATAATGATTTCACTGTGTCGACGAAAAATTCAATAGTTTGGGTACTCATCTGCAAGTTTTCAAAGACTTTGTTGTACCCATAATATATCTTATCATTCTTCAGTCGTTCAGAGGGCCAGTAATGTTTGTGATGAAACGTAATACTTACTCAGCATTACCATGCAGCAGGGTACGGAGAGGTTAGAGAGGGAGGGGGAGGGGGAGGGAGAGAGGTGTTTTCAAATGAATCATCATAGGAAATAGCTGCATTCATCATATTATCTTGTTTTAGTAAAGTTTTACATCATATCTTTCTAGTAATAAAAGCAAAGATGCTGAATAGAGTAAAACAACAGCTCATGTGATGGCCCTTGTGCATGGTGGCCATAGAAATGTTTGCAGTCATTAAACTTGCCGTTTGAGAAGCAGTTGTGGTTCTTGTTCTTTTTTTGTGTGAAGACATTTTTGGGATTATGAATTTAAAGTCAAACCTCGTTATTTATACCGCCTTACTTGGTGTGAGGATACTTAGATTACTTGGATCCAGAGCTAGAGTCATAGCAGGCGGCACCTGTCCATATAGCTGCTCATCTCTCCTTTCCAGCGTCCACCCCAGGGTCTTCCTGCTAATTGTCTCTATGAGGAGCTGGTTTGAGACACACCTGACCACTCCTCGGGGCAAACTTTTTTTCCTTGTGCCCCTCACACACTTTTGTTTTATTGTGTTGAGGGTGTGGGAGTCTGTCTCCTCTTGGTGGTGAAGGCTCTCCTTGCATCTGGCGATCACCATTGGTGGGTCGAGCATGATTCGGGTATTGGGTGCTGCGTTGCTGGCAAGTTCATCAGCACGTTCATTTCCGTGCACCCCGGCGTGACCACGGCAGAACACCCATGTAATCCTTTGGAGGTGGCTATTTGCAATGGAAGCTCTCCAGTCACTGCGAGGATAAAGTTGGCGGAACAGTAGGACTGGCAGTTCAACGGGGCTCCCCAGTTTTATAGCTCCAACTGCCCCAACGTCAAGGCACTACGTGATTCTGTCGTGCGATCTTTGTTTGAAAAGAGTTTTTTGTTGTTGATATACATGTAGGTCTACATGCACATGTATTCAGAGCCGATAGTTTTCTCTATCTCTGTGTCTTTCTCGTGTGAGAAAGGTTGTCAAGTAGCCAACCAGTGAGTGCCGTGCGTCGTGTGTGATGTGTACCTGTGGTTGTCAGTTCGCTTGCGGTACATGGAATGAATTTATTTTACATGTAGTTTAATAAAGACGGGAAACTCAGACAGCGGGCGAATGGCGGTGTAGAGGCTTAAATACTATGTTTATATAGGCGTCCTGTTTCGTACATTGACAAAACATGGTCGTAAGCGGGGCTGGCGGTACAACTAAGTTTGACTGATATTGTTTATTCCTATCGGGTAGATTTTTTTTCTTATGACATCCACAGGAGAAGTACAAAGAACAGAGAACAGAACAAGTTAATAAATGTGTCGCAACACGGTTTAATCAGGCGCTCGTCAATTTTTGGACATGTGGAGTTATTGGTATCATTTTAAAACTTGTTCGTTTGTCTTGCTCACGGTATAAATAATACGCACCTAACTTGTATAGAAGATGACATATTTGTGGTTAAAGGAGGTAGGGGTTGCTTTTTTTTTAGAAGTAAAATTCGTGAGAAAATTGGCCGCCAAAGTTTGATACATGTAACTTCAATGGCTTAAGAGTCCTTGAAAACTGAAAATCTACATATTTTGCGCCTTTAAACAAAGTTTTTCTGTAAAATTATACAATTATACAGGCATAAAAGGTGTTGGGCTCAAAAAACAAAAATTCAATAAAAATTGCCAAACTGGCGGAAAAATGCCTGTTTCTTCCATTTCGATATTTTGACAAGCGCCTGATTTCACCACGACGTGTCACAATTGTGTTTTGAATCCATAGATCTTGCAAAGGTATTTGGTCAACAGGTTGCAATAAAGGACTTTCCGAACCACTCCAGAAAATCAACAATGATAATAATATAATGGTAGTTCATTCGTCATGAGCTGATGGCAGGGCCGTCGAGAGCCAGGTCAGGCCCTGGGGCAGAAATCACCTTCGGACCCCTCCTCTCCCCGGCCCCACCCGCCCTCACCTGCAATTTAATAACCCAACAAATACAATGTACATAGGCATATATAATCACTTTACTGTAGCATATCTATTACGTACCAAC